TTTTTTTTTTTGCCACAGGGCACATATGCTTGCCAGAGAAGGGGGAGGGGGGAGAGAGAGAGGAAAAGTGAGAAATCACCCCTCTGGGTGTATGGCCATGCTGCAATCCCTTCTGTCTCTTCTCCTCTCAGGAGCATTTTGGGCATGCACTCACACATGCCTGGTATGATTTTCAAGCTGCCAGGTCCAGGGTTCAAACTGTGGAGGCCCATGTGGGAACTCAGTGTCTTTACCATCATGCCAGTGGCTGGCCCAACACCTATAAGAATTTTTAAAAGTACAAATGGTGGAAAATGTGTTTTGAATATATGGTTATAAGTTTAAAATAGCTTAGAGGGAATTTTTCTTTTCTTTGGAAAACTGAATTGTGAAGAGTATAATTTTATTTTCCTCCTACTCGTTCCAAGTCACAAACACATAATTTGTTCTTTCTTATTACATAATTCTATGCAATTAATTAATTTATGTACGTTTTCCTAGCCTGGCCTCTCAACGTCATCTCCCTGATCCTGATATCCATCAGACAAAGAGAAAGACTGATAAAGAAGGTAGGAGAGCATCAGAAATATTAATCTTATCAGTGGGAAAAAAAAAAAAAAAAGCTTTGATTCTACCTTTTCCTATCAAGAGTGTGGCTTTCTGGGTTCCAAATGAGGCATGAGTGTATCAAAAAGCTCCTTATGTAATGTAATCTGCTCTCCTGTTCCCACTACCATGAATTTTTTAAAAAGTTATTATTATTTTGTTTCCTAAATGAATGAGAGAGAGGGAGGAATAAATAAAGATGGCTCTCCATGAAGGTCCATGCTGAGACCCACCCCCAGTCTCAGCTGCCCTGGATTATGCACAGGTATGCACCCAGTGTGTTAAGGGGGGTGGTCTCTGGACTTGAACTTAGAACTGAGTGCCTGCCTCACGGAGCACTGTGTTTTACTGCTGCACCACCATCTGATCCCCCTAGGAATGCCTTATTACCCTTTCTCTATTATTTCTGCAATCCTCAAGATGATGCAAACCTATATCAAGCACTATAAAAGTCATAAATCATAAAGTAGAATATGAACACGATGTAAAATATGACACGTTTTATTTCCTTTAAGAAAGTTTCTACGGCAGGATATTGATCGGGGTGATGGGTATTTGGTCACTTATTGCATCATTCCCTATGCTTTTCTGTATGTTTAAAGTGTTTTGGAATGCCCATAAATCAATATTTATAGCTCTTAAGTATACAACATATTATTGCATGATTCTCTCGAATGTCTATATTTTTCATTCTATTTCCTTTAAAAGAGTTTCTTACTGGGTTTGTTTTGTTTAATTACTAGCTCGGTATGGTCTCGTTCTCTTGTCTATATCATGCAAGTATTGCGGCTGCCCTATGAATGGAACTGTTACATACTTTTGTTAGAGAAAATGAGCTCTAAGATGCAAAATAACCAACTTAAAAATAAACCCTATACATCTCTAAATCATATACTTTTGCCATTTTTTTTTAGAGGTTTTTGCTATAGGGTATGTGTGCTTGCCAGAAAGACAGAGAGGGACAGAGAGATAGAAAGTGAGAAATCACCCCCCAAGGGGATGGCCCTGCCACAATCCCTTCTCCTCCATTCTCCCCTCAGGATCTTGGGCACGCATGCACATGCACCCGGCGTGAGTTTAAGCCACTGGGTTTGGGACTCAAACCATGGTCGACTACATAGGAGTCCAACGACACAGCCATTATGCCATCTGCTGGTCCCTCTGCCATTTCTTTAAAAAAGAAAAACAAGGTAGCTCATTTTACAAATAGTCTTTCATGCATTATCAAAAAAACATATAATGACAAAAATCAGTAAGTATGAGCCTAGTAATGGGATACAAATCATTCTTGTTAACTTATGT